AGGTAAAGCAAAAGCCACACACACAAGCAAAGCAAACTAAGGAGTTCATTCACCACCTCCCACAGGCAGGCCAGTGTTCAGCCATCTCCAGGAAAGCAGGGCTCCATCATGGGTGATGGTTACTGGGCAAGACGAATGCCCCTGGAAGAGGAGACGGGCAGCTTGAAGGCACTGCTGACCTCCTCTGGCACCCAGCAAGCTTCCAGCATCGCTCTGCTAAAGCTTCCCTTTCACAAGTAACGTGCTCTTGCTTGAGAAACTTTTCTCCCTGCTGCTGCTATGTGTCCTGGCTTATTCTGTCTCTGCCATGTAAGATGATGCAAAAAACAAAACAAAACAAAACAAAGAGAGCAAGAAACAGGGAACAGAAACTGGGAACAGAAACTGGGAAGCCAAGCACTACAAATAAAGAGCAGAACAGGAATTGCAACTGGAGCCCAAAGCATTGATTGCCAAGTGCAAGAGCTGAGTGGGGAAAAAAAAAGTTACAGTTCACTAACAAAGAGCACATTTAATTTCCCCTTCTGGATTTTCACCAAGATGAAATTTCCTTTCTCTGTGTGTGTGTGTATGGAAAGCAACTGTTGCAGGGAACATTTACAAAGCAAAATTGTTTATTTCCAACTGCTCTGTGGAAGAGAAACAGCCCAAAAGGAAAAGAAGAGAATCGACTAAATGTTTCCACAGAAGAGGACCCTCTGGATTTATCAATTTGTCTATTTCTTAAGGCCGCTGTCAGGAACTGGGAGCTGAACTCTGTGCAGAGAACACAAGACCAGTGCCCAGCCTGTTCCCAGCGCGGTTTCTGGCCGGCGAAAGCCCTTGCTGTCAGGCAGCAGAACCTGGTCAATGGGATGTGGGAACCGACTGGTGGGAAACCTGCATGTTACAGTCCGTCAGACTGCGCAACATTGGCACATCGCCCTGGGTGGTATTTTTATTCAAATATATAATGCTAATTTGTGCTGGTGGTTGGGGGTATGTTTGATCCTGGGAAAAGAGATCAAGCGCAAAACCAGGGGCTGGATCAAACATGGACTGGAAAGTATTGCTGGTGAATGACCGTGGAAGAGACCAAGCCACTTGCTTGCCCAGGGTGGATTTTGAGGCTGGATGTACCCCAGGTGAATCTGGTCAGACTTCTTCCTTGCCCCACATGAGGAGCACGGCTGCCTGACCTGGGGGAGGTTCATGTCCACTGCACCAAAGCATGCAGCCCCTGCAACCCAGAACTTTGTCCTCATGATGGTGGCCCCTTCCCATCCCTCTCACATGGTGGGTTTCCAGCCAGAGGGGTTTGGGTTGTCAGTTCCCAAGCCAGGCATTTTGAAGGTTGCATGATAGACAGGTGATGAAGGAAGGAAACCCTTGCCAGGCTGATGATGCAAAAAAGCCAGCCAGCAGCTCTCCTCCCACACCTCCTGCCCATCAAGCTCCTGCTGGCCCAGCAGCCTGTCCTGTTTCAAGGTCCCCATCCTCATGAACTGGTTGATGGCAGCCAGGGATGGGGCAGCCGTGATGCCCTGCACAGGCCGGAGCTGCAGCCAAGGGGAGCGGGGCAGGGAGGAGATGGGTAGCATGGGAGTCCCACAGGAGTGTTTTCCTATCCCCAGTGTTGATTTCTGTGGCTCTCGAAGGTGTCGAAATGCTAATTGTGCTGTGAGGGGCTTAGTCACAGTTGCTGTGATATCTGTAAGCAATACCAGCAATTTAATTAAAAAAGAGGCAGGTTCTCTAATGTGCATCATCTCCGCTTGCTTCTTTTGGACCACCTGATCTATCTGCTCCGTGGTGCTTCTTATTTCACTGCTAGTGTGGAGGATTAGTCTAATTTTTTTTCTCTTTCTTTCCCCTCTGCTGCTCCTTTTGCCAGTGCTTGCTCTGGTCTTTGCTTTATTTCCAAGTATCAAACAGCAGCCTTTTCACTTGAGGCTTTCCCATCTCTCAGGTGTGTCAATGCAATTCAGTTCCCACCCTAGTGCTGATGGACTTACTGTAGACCTTGGCCTCTCCCGTCTCACCCCTTACTTTGAGAGGACGGAGCACCTCCCACCTCTGCCAAGAGACTGCAAGGCTCTTTCTCCAAAAGCTGGGGCACTGAGCACCCCTGATTGGGGAAGGTCACCTAAGGCTTTCCCACCCCACAGCCCGGGTGAGGACTCCAACCGGTCCCCAGCAGAAAGAGGTGTTTCCACGGTGCTTCAGCCTCATGGTTTTAGTAACAGCAGCAGCTTGCTTGAGAGTTGTCAGCGCTGATAAACTCAGTCCCATTCTGTTTCAAAATTGGTTTAAGAAACATGCCTGGCTGTTTAATATTTAAGCTAAATGTTTAATGTTTAAACAGGGAAATTGTTCTGATTGTCAGAAAGGGCATTAAAGCAGGATGGAAACTGGTTTATAATCTCTAACAAACCCTGCCCTTTTTTGCAGCAGCAGCGTGGTGCCAGGGAGCTGCAGGAGTTTCAGAAATGTCAATTTTTATCAACCTCTTTCATTTCATTTGCTGCTTACCACTCCCACAGCAGTAAGATGTGGTTTTTCCCTGCTAAGTGGGCAACATTGTACCTGGTCTTGTTTAACAGTTTGAGACTAGTTCAGCTGAATTGAACTAGCACTTCAAAACCCAAACAAATTGCAATAGAAATGCTCATGGGTAAGGTGAAAAGCAAAGCTGGATGGTGTCAGCTTATGGGTGTACTCCAGATGATTTGGGGTCCCTTTTGTATGTGCACACAAAAGCTGTGAAATTCAGATGCCAAGTTTAAAGTCAGAACAAAAATGAATGGCTCTAATTGCCACAAATACATATATGGATGAATATTTTTTGATATGGGCAGTGTTTTTCAGATGATGGAAATATCGCCCTGGGTGTGTAACGGTGCAGAAGGGTTTCACACCACAAAAGGCTTGTCAGGAGCAAGCCTGTACTCCCTCCCTGAGCCCTCGGCTGGGCACTGTGGCTGTGCCAGGCTGCATGCACGTGGTAATCCTAGCACACAGGAATCCCTGCTTGGTAATTGCTGGAGCTGGGGAGAACATATTCAGCAGGGAGCCCTCGAGTCAAACAGCAATTCACATCAGTCACTTTTCTCTCCTTAAAAATGTTCCTAAGGTGGATGCTAAACTGACCTGTCAAACAACCTGTCAAAAATCCTTTAAACAAGCATTTAATACTACAGTTTAGTGTGTTCAAAATCCAACATCGCTGCTTCCTACTAAGACTATTCTCTCCTTTCCAGCGAACGTAATTTGAAGTGCATGTGTAAGTTCACGGTAGATGGGAAAGTTGAAGCTGAAAATGTAGTCTTATAAATAATGTGTTTGGGCTTTTTTACCCCCAGAGAAACCAGTAGTGGCTGGCTGATCCTCACACAGAATGGCTGCGAACAACGAACAAAGGAGCTCAGGAGACACATAGTGTCTGTACAACCGTTTCTGTGCGGTGCTTAACACTGGCACCGTGAGCACCTGCTCACAGCTGATGACAAGGGGCTGCCTGAAGCACCCCTTCCCTCTGCAAATAGCTTCTGGTTTGGAGCCCATCAGCACCAAGGCTGAGATTGGTCTGCACTTAGGGTGTCCACAAGGCTTTTGTACAAAAAAGTGAGAGGACATACGAATGTGGCTGAAGTAGAGGACAGAAGCAAAGTCATCCTGCATAGGCAGGTATTTCTGTTGGCATATACATATGGATCATACCGAGCAGAGCAAGGGTTTGGTGGCTGCTGCAGGTGATGTGCCTAGTGATTTAACACACTAGAGAAACACCCACCTTCCACAAACTCACAAAAAACGACACAAGAAAGAATCCGAAGAAAAGTTTATAGAAGAGCTCCTCTTATCAAGGTTTCAGGACTATTGAAAGGCACATTGCACCCATGTTGAATGACAATTGAGTTCAGGGACACATACAATGCTCACATTCCATGGCAAAAAGACTGCATAATGATGGTACGTTGTGAAACATATATTCCAGACTTCAGTTAAACACTAAAGTGATTATTTTAAGTGTGTCATGTACATAGTAAGAGCAGAACAGGCAGATGCATCCAATTACTGTAATTTACAAGGCAGTAATTCAAGCCTCAAATATATTTCTCCTTATTGGAGGAAGGCGGTACAGATTACAAGCAAAACGAGGGGCAGCAAATTGACAGGGAGCCAGGAAGCTGCTGCCATTCAGAAAATAACAGCTAGCACCTGCTGCAAGTCAGAGGGACTTTTCACTCCGCTTTAACAGCAAACGGCTGGGCTGGATCGGATGCTCTTGGGCCAGAAAGTAACTGCAAACCACACCATGGCCACGCCGCACTAACGCAGGCACCCTGCAGAACGGATAAGTGCAGATGTTTGCTTGGTAGCGGGCAGAATAAAGTCCACTCATGCTTCCCCTCCCACTGTTTAGCGAGCTGCTTCATGCTAATTACCTCTTTTCATCCATCTTGTGGTTAAGTTTCACATTGCGATGATTAATAATTACTCAAATGCATCTGAAAATTAATTTGGCAATTCTATGTCTGATTGGCACGCTAATGTCTTCCGTGCAGCAGGAACGTTATAGGAATAACCTAGGATATTCTGAGCTGCTAACTGAGGTGAATACATAAGGGTATTTATTATCTCGTGCGGTAAAAAAAGAAGCAGTGAGTGGAAACGAATGCATTCTCTGAGGCCTCTTTGCCTTTTGGGAAAGGTATGATCTGCATTTTGCCTTCCCTGTGTTAGGAATATAACACTGATATTATCATGGTGGATCAAAACAAATGGTCACAGAAAAGGCAAATTTGAAAAATGCCCCCACAGGTGATTTATTTCTGTATTGCTGGTAGCAACTGCAGTAGATTTGATGCATTAATTGTGGTACTAAAAAGAAAAATCACAAGGAGAACAACTTTTGCCCTTTCCACAGCTGTCCACACCACTTCTCTCCAAAAATAACACTCATCTGGTAAAAGAGAAGAAGAGGGAGTATGCAGCTTCCATTGGACGTGTGGTCTCCACTAGTTTCGAATTAGTAGTCCCTTTTTATAGGCAAACAGCCCCGCAGCAGCCACAGAGGTGAAACACACGGTAGAGCTAAGCAGGCACAGCAGTCCTGGCACGGATGGTAGGTTCCTTTCCCAGAAGGTGGTGGTGAACGGTCGGGCTGGGACATCCTGGGGAAGAGAAGAGATGGTACCACTCCAGGGCCTCCCTCATGGTATGAGTAGGGAGGTGGCAAATGTCCCCCATGAGGCTGGGGAGATTACAAGTTTTTCCCGAGGACTAGATCAGGGGGGAAGGAGGGTCAGGGCTGTGAAACACATTTTCCATTGTCCAAGGGACAGCAAAGTTGGACTTACTTGTGACTGGAAGTACGTTATATTTGTCTTAAAACCATGGCCTGGGACTGGGCAGAACTAAGCTGATTTCCTACATTTTGCAGACCCTCAGGCTCCAAGATCTTTCTCCCTGGCTCTTGGCCATCCAGCCCTCAGACAGGGGTAACAATATTCCTCGGATGAGTCAAAAAAATGAATACCATCAGCATGTGAGGTAAACAAAACCTTGGCTAGAGGCAGGCCCCATAGGAATCACCGAAACAGGGACCACAGCCTGACTGAGGGGTGCGTGCCTGACCAGGTGACAATGAGAAAGTCTGGCTTACCTTCGACTCTGGCTCTGGCAACCAAATTTCATTCACTGAGATCCTCCCCATCCTGTGCAATATCTAGAAGAAAAAAAATATTTCTACCACATGATAAAAAATTTAAACCCACACTACTTTCAGTTTTGGAAAAGCAGAGCAAGTCAGAGCAAGGTGACATTGATAAAAGGCATAACTACGACTAGCTGAAAGTGCTTTGAACCAGAAAATGTATAGTAATGTCTCTGTTTATATCAGCAAAGAGAGAAGAAGTAGGCAGTTTTGGTAGTTTGTGTAAATATATGACAGCTGGTCATCAAATGGCCCTGCGCAACCAGCGCTTTAAGGATAAAAGGACAGTTTCACAGTCATTTGTACAAAGTAGGACTTCACTCAGAAATCCACATGAACTACAGCTTCTCCAGATGTTTATTTTCAATTTTTTTCTGAGCACAAGTAAAAATGCTTTTTCACATGACAGTTTGAGAAATAGCAAGGTGAGGTTACTGCCACACACTTGGGATGCAAAGCCTGTTAGGAGTGATGCTGCTTGGATCACAAACTAGAAAGAGGTGAGGTACAACTCTGGGGCTTTCAAAGCATACAACTACAAAGTTCTCTCTTGGCTATTCAGGCAGTACAAAGCTCATCGAGGATTCTTCTTGAGAACAAACTGATTGTAACAACCATGGCAGTTCTCAGGGGCAAATGAATGCCTCCAGAAGAGACAGCTAACTGTCTTTGTAACTACTGCTCACAGGCATGGAGAAAAAGAAAGAAATTAGGTAACTTGAAACAAAGTGATAATAAGGATTATAAGGTGAATATGACGTTCTGTCAAATGGAAGCAAAGGGCTGATTTTCCCTCAAATAACAGCTCCGTGGCTCTGCCATACAGCAGTTGTAACTGTAATGTACACCCTTTAATGGTTTTTTTCTCTCCGTCCAGACTGTTGTAAAGGGATTTCACTGTGACTGGGAACCCAGCCCAATGCGTGTCATTCTGAGGAGATTTAGACATTATCAGAGACACCCATTACAAATTCATAAAGCCGAGCTAACGGTACTCTCTCGTAAAAGGAGAAGCAGAAGGGATAGATCAAAAATGAGAACAATGCTCAGATTTCCAGATTGCTGCACAGGAAATAGCTCTGAGCATTTGTAATGCCTTAAATTACTTTTAAAACATACAGTGATTAATTTGTTATAAATTGCAGTAGTATATCTAAGGGCAGCATCAGGTTGGAGAGTTTTTTCCATGAGCTTCAGCATGAGCTTCGTTTTGAGTCTCCAGTGCAGTAAGACACTGCATAATGTTCTGATTCAGGTGAGACGCTTGGCTTCACTTTATTCAATGACAAAGTAAAATTTAAAAAAAAAAAAAAAGCTTTGGTTTACATAACTTTTCTGGGATTCTTCCTCACCAAGCCTCTGCACAATCACAGGGTGTGCTACACAAAATCAGACTCTCCAGGCTGTATTTAATCCTTTTTAACCTTTTAATAGAGATGTTGAAAGCAAACCAATGGCCTGTACCTCTCTGGCTGCTCTCTCTCCTGCTTGTACGGCCCCCTCCATGTATCCACTCCATTGAGTAGCTGTTTCTGTGCCAGCAAAGTAGATTCTGTCGATGGGCTGGCGAATGACCCTTCAAAACAAATGGAGAATGTCAGATGACAAGTAACAGGAAGGCGATGATCCTTCTAAAAGCAATTTATGGGCTTTCATGGAGCGCTCAACTTCAGTTCTCCAGAACTGCATGGTGCAATAAGCTGTCCCCGCAGGACCACCTACTTGCTTCTGTACACAAAACTCAAGATCTGAGAGACAGAAAATCTAATGCATAAATCAGTGTGTCCAGTTTCAGTGCAAAATAATGTGAGCCTTATTTTAGTGCTGGGATAAGGGATAATCCTAACAGCCTCCAGAAATGCAGTGCAGCTGACAGATTTATGTCTTCTGCATGGCAGCTTTGTTGTTATCTTGCCATTACAATTGGATGTGAATGATGTTTTTGCAGTGATGAGTCACTAATACTGCCTTCTATTTGGAGGCTGGACTTGCCTGGCTGCAAGTCCTGCCAAAAGGGGACAGCAGCTGAAGCCTTAACATTCAGGGAGTTGCATTTGCCCCGCAGGGTCCTAAGAGCCAGCCCTTCAGCCGTGCAAAGCTGCACAAGCATCCCCGTCAACCCAGACATAGATAATGAGCTCCCTTTCCCGTAGAGAGATGTGCTTGCGCTAAGGGCTCCCATCTAACCCCTAATTAGGTTTTCTCTGTCTGCCTGACACCAGCTTCCCCAAGTCAGAGCCCTCACCCATCACTATGCAAGTGTTCAGATAAATTACAACAGCAGAGGCTGTGCATGGGGTGACTTCTTCCCACTCATATCTTGGCATAGAGGAGGGTGCAACTCTGTGATGGACAGGCTAAGGAGCTCATGCTGCCATGTGCTATGCGGTTTGTCTGGCCTTTGGCTATGGACACAAGATTTGTCTGATTGATCCTATTATGTGCAGAACCGTGCCTTCCACATGCTTTTTGGTGACGTACATAGTATTAATCTGTATTTTCTAACACGTTCCTTTAGGAATATAGCAATTCTGCATAGGGAGGGCATGGGAGGCTTTGCTGGGTGAGAGGAGAGAATGCGTTTTCATGTAAGGGTTTTGTGTCTTCCCCTCATGACGTGACTCAATGGACTTCACCAGAACCTGGCGCTCCACCCACACCATCAATGGAGACTCTTCATCTGTCTAAGATGTGCGCCCTCAAGGTCTTAGAAAGCATTAAAGGGATCTACTACAAATATTGCATAGCGGCAAATACTGTAAGTAACCTAGTGGGAAATGCTTTCCTGGCTCTTCCAGGTCCCTTTGTGACTGTGCTTTGTTTCCTTGAAAGTCACAAGAGAAACTCTGCCTTTACTAAAGTCAATAGCAAGATCCTTATTAGCTGGGGAGCAGGGGAGTGGGAAAAGTGTTCAAGTTCCTCCAATATGCTACATATGCCATAGGTTTGTTGTATAAGCATTGTACATGAGCTAAGAAATGTAAATTAGAAAGCAAAGCATTCTCTGGTTTACCTTCCGTAAGAATACATTATGCCTGGTGGGAAGTAGGCTGTGTAACAACCCCCTGAATATTGCTCCATGCTCCAGTTCTTTTCTTCATAATGCACAGGCTGTAAGTATTAGCAAATATTAGAGAGTGAAACAGGGGCAGAGAAACTGGAAATAAAAAACAAACTTCCTTTGAAGAGGGACAAAATAGGCTAAGGAGTGCCGTGTCATCTGGCTAATGCTATCTATCTCCACAAAACAAATCTTTGCACTTTTACAAAAGCACTAGTCTCCCATGGGGAAATGACAGGGCAAAGAAAACCATCCACTGCTTTCTCTTTTCTTGTAAAGAGTGAGACTGGCAGCTCTTTTTTTCCTGTACTAGATGCTGCTGCCTTCCCCTTGGGAGTACAGATTGTATGGCACAACATGCAATTTTAGGTACCAGGAATTTTGGCTTCATCCTCCAGAACAAAGAAGCAACATTACTGTACAACAGAGGTGAAAACAGGCATTCATTTCTTACGTGTAAAGCCTCTTCCATCCCCATTGCCTTGGCATATGCCTCACAGATCTTCTTCTTCCTACATGAAAATAAAATCATAGTCAGGAAAAAAAAGGTGGAAAAAAACCTCTCAGCTAGTGTTCTTCTAAAAAAAATTACATTTATTGCAATACATTGGAAAGAAAGTTGGGTTTGGCTTTGTTTTTAAGTCTGATTTCAAGTTCTTAACATACATATTTCAAATGCTGATGCCTAAATGTGACATCCAAAATGGACCCAGGGAATAGGAAATTAAGGTTGATTTTGGCAATGAGCTCTGAAAAAATAAATCTTTGTGCAGTTATTTTAGGATGCAGAGCCAATTCATTCTCATGTTCACTGGTGTAAGACCAGGAGAGAAGCAATATAAATCAATGAAATCCCTACAGATTTACTATAGCTGAGAACAAAACATAAGCTGGAGAATACTGCTCACATTCCTAAGCAGAACTCCTCTTTTACTTGCATGTGTACCAAAAAATCACATTTAGAAAGCACTGTTTGTTCATTTCACAGAACAATGGAGAAACCATACCGTTGTAAACACAGAAGTTTAAAAATTTTATCACCCAGTCTGAATGCAAAAGACACTCAGAACTACACATGTCAGTGCTCCCTCTATCCCTGGGGTGACATATCATTCAGTGGGAATGCAGTCTGTGAATGTTTTTGGAAAAATCTTCTCAGTTCACATAGAGACACAGAGCTGATAAGCCAGAACATGGAAGAGTGGGCAGGACTTGGAAACTCAGAAACACCCATAACTGGATGGATACTAGCATTAGTGTGCTGGCCTGTTCATGCTAAAAGCTTAATTTTTGCCCCAAATTCCAGTATTGGTAGTTGCACTGAGCATGTGCATATACATGTGTATGCTCATACATATCCACACATATATTCCCGTGGGGAAGCATCCCAAAGAACTGACTTATTTCTGAAATATTTACAGTTTCTAAACTCTTACCTCTCTTCCTTACTGAGATGGGCCAATTTAACAGCCTTTCTGGTAAGGATGAAACTGAAAAGAAAAATATGGCATATAAATATCACACAGTGTCTGCACCCCAGCTGATTCACAAGCTCTTGCTTGAAATGACTCTCAAAAAAAACCCAGGGCAAAGCACTTCAGCAGTACGTAATGGGTTTGACAATTTTTTTCATCATACCTCATCACTTAGTAATTACAGGTCACACAGGTGAAAAGGCCTGTGTGGGGTACCCTGGGCAGTTAATTGAAAGGGAGAGAATGCATTCCCAGGGGGCTGGCGCAGAGGACTGCCTGGCAGCTACCAGATGAGAAAGTTGCGAATTGCAAGCGTGTTTTCAAAGCTGCCAGCACTGGCCTCATTTTGCTCTGTGGGAATGAACTCTCCATCCCCACTGACTCAGGAAAGCAAAGTTATACAGAAAGTGGGCAGAGACACGACTGTGTCCAGCAAACCAGCCTGCGCTGCCTACCCTCTTATACCTAGCTCTTATGCAAAAGGACCGAGACCCTGAATTTTCTTGACCTTTTGAAGTCTCGCAGACAGCTTGCCATACCACTGCCCATGTCATTTGGTGTTCATAAGTGATGGGAGCCTGCTGCTCTGACAAGCACTGCACGTGTCATGGACCAGTCCTATAACAACTGGGATTAATATTTATTCAGCTTGAAGGAAACAGATTTGGCAATTAGTTCATCTGACCTTAGTGGAGATAGCCAGAGGATGAAGTATGTTGCTGCACTCTTTTAGAAAGTTGCATAAATCCACAAGGAGAAAGCAGGGAACTGTTTGCCATACGGGATTTGGAGAACGCTTATTGCTCTCAGTTCATGGAAGTTTTTAAGCCTTGAACATGCCCATAAACATGTACAGTTCAGTAGAACTGGCAAGCTTTCCTTGCCAGATACTTAAGGAGTTGTTGCCTGACATTTATATTGGCCTTTTTTCAGCAGTCTCACCTCAGATTACAGTGGAAACATTTGTAAAGATTGATTGTTCATATTGGCTTAACCTATTTTAAAAGCCAGTCAATGCTGTTATGTATTTTCCGATGTGTCCAAACTACAACTTTTTTACTTGGTGGTTTCTTCAGAATCACAATTTCTTCACTGCACAGCTGCTGCCTTGCTCAATAACCAGCTGATATTCGTTGTCCTGCCTCATCTCAATGGAGAGAGGAGGCACATGAAGATTCCTTGGACAACTGCATTTTCATTTTCGTCCAGGTGCTAAATAAACACAAGGCCCAACATAAGCTGAATACAGGCTCACAAAGCTAGGTAAGAGAATGATTTGTTTCTAAATCTACTCCACAGCAAAAAAAAACATTAACTGAATGTTTAAAAGGAACTACAGCTGAATTCAGCAACTCCTTCCCAACCATCTTCTTCGCATTAGGAGCATCTATTTGTAGCAGAAGCTTCACCTAAAAGCTTATATGGACTAGAAAGGCACAAGAGGCTTGTCAGAAGTGCTCTCCTCCACCTATGAAGACTGTGGGAGTGGGCACTACAGATGTAACCTGGCCATTTCCCCTCTTCCTCATCCTCCCACTCCTTCATACAAAAGAAATACACATCTAGAAGCTCTTAACCCCATAATGGCAGGGAAAGATCCATCAGGTTTCGTGTCATCTATGGTTATTCCAATTGGAGACTCTTCATCCTCAATGATGAAGGAACCGCAATAACCTAAGGGGGTGAAAGAAAACAAAATGATTGTCAGAGAAACTTGTTGATGATAGTTGTTTCTGACAGTAATGAGCGAGGAAAATTATCCATAAAAGGAATTGTACCTTAATTCCTTTGTCACCAATAATACCTACATGTCTGAAGTGTTTTTGTAACAGTCTCTCTCCTCTCTTCCCTCTAACTCTGGCAAATTTTGTACACAGACTTTTAAAAGTCATATTTAAATTCCACTGTTACTTAGCAAGGAATTTCTGTGGATTGTTGCAAGTCCCTTTGGCTTTCTATATTGGGGGTAACAAACACTAAAAGCAAACGGGTCTAGCAAGAACTATGATGGTTCATTCCATGAGTAACTTTGGCCAAAACAACAGCAGCAGCAACAAAACTCAGTATAATTATATCTGGTCACTGCAGGCTCAAATTTATACCCTGTATTGATTTTGCTGACATTAAGACTGTCAGGAATGGTGCTCCTTAACAGCAATGCAGCAGAAACATAGGCTGCCTAATCTAATATCACACAGTACATGTTTCAGATGAACACGCAAAAAAAATCCCATATAGAAAACAATGTGTAAACCTGCTGATGTTTCTTTCTAATCCCAATGGATGGTTTATGCCCTGAAACATGCAAAATTATACTCTTTTGATTAAGAAATATTCTTGCCCAGTGCAACTCTCAGTATCACTGCACAGGAAGTGGAAACTAATCTGTTCATACAAATAGTTCTGGAAATGGTATCAGCTCAAGCTGAGAAACACATGATGCTGCAGCACACGGAAGAAGTACCTTGAGTTAAACAAAAAGCTATCTCAGTCCTCTGAGGCATCAGAATTGTAGAACAGAGGATTAAAAACAGGGAAAGGTCTTGTTTATACCTTAAGCTCTCCTTGTCATCTGCTGTAAATTCTCTTTGGCTGACCTAACTCTGTCCCTGGCAGTGAGAAGTGGGGACCTGCTGCCGCAGGGTCACTGCTTCTGTGCATTGCGGGTTTCAGCAACGCTTCCCAGGGAAACCTTGCTTGTTCTTTCAGTCGTCCATCCTCAGCTAGCAACAATGAGATTCAGGATCGTATTTGGGTCTGGACTCATCTTTGGGACAAGACATGCACTCAAGCTTGGAGGAAGAGCTCTCCTTTCTAAGGAGCTTTACCTTTCACTTTTCTGGGTGTTTGGTTTTGGGGTTTTGCACACTTAACCCCCCTTCGGGTTTATTCCCTGATAGACAGCAGAGCTTCAAGATCCGCGCAGCATGGGGCTCCCAAGTCCTTCACTTTCCCCACATACCCTTCCTCTCCCAGAAGGCTTCCCTGTAGTACACCATGCATTTTATGACACACCCCATAGGCAAACGCTGAATTAACTGGTTTCTCTTTGGCGGCAGTTCTGGTGTGTAATGAATCTTTGTTGTCAGGATGGGTGGGATAGCACTGATCACATACTTGCCCTGAAACGTAAAACACAGTCAGTACAGATGAGGTGCTGCCTCTCACTGAGCTCACCCTGCAGGACACATTTGAAAGATGCTTAGTTCTTTACAGCCTTCCCACACCTGACTTTGCCTCTTGGCTTTCCCACACAGACACTTCCAAGTGACCAAAATAATTCTGCCATTTCAGAAAAAGGACCTGGGAAAAACATGTTGTTTTGTGGTTAGATGATTCTTGACAGCTTTCCGGACACTACAGGACCAGAGTTGAAACTCAGCTGGAGACAAGTGGGGAAATGGGACAAGATAGATCTTATGGCACAGGTAAAAATGGCCTTTTAGCATCCCCAGGAAAATATGACCCACGTCTGCTCAAATTATAAAATCACTTCTGTGTATGTTCACTTCAGGACAAGCAACACTGATGGTGATTTCAGCTATCCTGAACATGCTCCATCCCTCTCGCAGGTCCTGTGTCTGACTGGAGCGACGAAGGACGCTTTGCTTCAGGGCTCAGCGTGACACTGTATCACAACAGATGTTGCTGCTCTCAGGTGCTCTCACGCTGGTGGGGCCGCTGAGTGCAGGAAGCCCATCTCCTCCAACTTGGCTGTCATTCAGCCAGCATGGAGGGAGGTTTAACTCC